TAAGCTAACTAGTGAGAGAAACGAGGAGGTGTGACTTGAATGATTTGCAATAAATGGTTTACTTTCACAGAATTGTAGGACAATTTTAAATCAATTACTTCAAAGGTACTATTCTGAACTGCAAAATACTTACTCGTTTCGTGTCGTTTATGTTTGAAAATATGAGTCCTTCAAACACAGTATATAATATTTTGAAATTACAATATTTTTCAGTTATCAAAATTGAGCTACAAATGAATTGAAAGAGACAAATCGTATCACAAATTTCATTTTGTTGTATCCAATTCGAGTTAAAGAAGTAAATTCTATTTTATTCGCTAAAAATTAGAAAACGCAAGATTAGAATATTTAAGTTAACTAGTGAAAAATGAACAAGGTGTGACTTAAATGATTTACTTAAAATGGTTTACTTTTACAGAATTGTAGGGAAATTTTAAATCAATTACTTTAAAGTTACTATTCTAAACCACGAAATACTTTTTCGTTTCAAGTCGTTAATGTTTGCAAAATTATTCAGCTGGCTAGATAGAGCTTTACATTTTTCTTCAAAAGATCAACAACAAAAATAATAAAAAAATTTATAAAACTACATTCCTATAATTTTTTTTTAAATTAAAAATTTAACTGTTGTTTGAGAAATTTTCTTAATAAATTATATTTTACGTGCGTATTAAAAAAATCATATATCTAATTCCGGAATTTTCAGAGTTTGGATTTTTTTCATAGAAACTAAGAATTTCATTGTTAAATCGACAAAGAAAAATACGGCGATAAATAAATTTAATGAACGTAAGTTTATGAGCCATGTAACTTAAATTGGCCATTAACTTAAGAGTGAAATGGCTGAAAATGATTCATTTTTATTCTTTTAACAGAAACAAAACTTAAAACTTGAGTGAATGTAAATTAATGACTCGTATCCGTATTTAACAGGCAGTTAAATATATTACTTAAGAGGAATAAAAGGTAATTAGTGAATTGCTTATTCTCCAGTTCAAAATCAAGCGGCATAAATTTCCCTTCCAAATATTTTTTTTTTTTTTTTTTGGTGTGTCAGGGAAATTTTTTTTGGCTTTGTTATTTTGTCTTTATAATTAAATAAACTTAAGTCAAGTAGGCAAAACTCTCAATTAATCTTGCTTCCACCCTAAAAAGGAACAAAATTTGCTTTTTTTTTCCTTAAGCTAGCCATCATATCCAAAAATTTTATTTTTAAAAGCACTCATTTAAAGGCATAGAACACTCATATTTAATATAACACATACAATGCAAAGCGTGGAAAAATATCCTTTTTGATGCAAAGTAAAATTAGTAAAAGAGGAGAAAAGCATACGCTTTAAATTTAGAAAAATACATTTCAATCATAAATTTTGATTATTTATGTTTATCTTCAAATTATTTACGCAGTTATATTTTTAATAATGATCAACGAATATAAATTTTACAATTATCTAATTTTTAATTTAAACTATTTTTTGCCAAAATTATAAACCATGAAACCATGGGTGCTATAACTTTGTAATTGCGGTAGTAAATTTATGTTGAGAGAATTTAGAGTTTTTTTTTAAAAAAAAAAGCTTAATTGCTTATCTATCTGTATGCGAAGGCATCTCAAGAAAAGTTACATTTATAATGTACCTAGCCACAACGCCCTCGATACTCGGGATTTTGCTCCATAATGATTATGCTTAGTCCTTAAATTGATAAGAAAAGGTTAGCATGCAATTAACTGTTTAAATGATACATTTGATTTAGATATTAACGTGAATTTTTGCGTTGTTCATTTTCGCAAACAAGTATTTCGAGATGTGTCAATTTTGTAAACATGCATTTTGAGCTGTGACCTTTTCCGTAAACACGCATTTTGCACTATGTTTATTTTAGTAAACACGCAGTTCAAGCTGTGTCCATTTTCGTAAACAAGCAATTTGACCTGTGTCAATTTCGTAAGTACGCATTTCGAGCAGTGTCTATTTTTGTAAACAAGCATTTTGAGCTGCCTTCATTTTCATAAAAATGAATTTCGAGTTGTGTCCATTTTTTCAAACATGCATTTTGTATTGCCTCCCTTTTTTTAAACCCACAATTCTGACTGTGTTTATTTTTCTAGACACGCAGTTCAAGATGTGTCCATTCTCATAAACACGCATTATGATCAAAGTCAATTTCGTAAATAAGCATTTCGATCTGTGTTCATTTTCGTAATTACGAATTTTAAGCTGTGTCTAAATTTTAAAGCTCGCCGACCATTCATTCCATTATTTGCGAAAAAAACTAAACTTCAATTATCATGGGTCAGTTCTGCGGAGATTAAGAACCATTTGCTACGCATAGGCCCTATTATGAACCACAACCATTTGCTTCGCAGTAAGGCACGCTGACCACTCGGCCACCTTTCTGGCAGAATAATATTGTTGTTATTGTAGTTCATTTACGTCGCACAAGAGCTGCGCTATGGACTATTGGCAAACGTCTGGGAAACATCCCTGAGAATGATCCGAAGACATGCCATCGCAATTTTGATCCTCTGCAGAAGGGATGACACCCCCACTTCGGTAGCCCGACGATCTGCACGTGAGGTCGAGCACTTTACGGTAGAACAGCTTAACGAGGACCAATACCGCACACCCTCTGTCCCTACGCAGACTAGTCCAAGTGATCACCTACTCCCACACTGAACGCAGCCAGTGATGCTTGACTTCGGTGATCTGCTGGGAATCCTGTCTTAACGATCAGTCCACTGCTGGACGGCAGAAAAATAAAATATCTATCACGATTCTTACAAACTTGGGAATATTCAACAATATATGGTTTGATCGTTTTATATAAACTGCAGAGCAGCAATCAAATTATCTTTTTCTAACAGCATATTTTATAGAAATTTGAAGATTTTGTTGTTGTTGTAGTTCATTTTCGTCACACTAGAGCTTTACAATGGGCTATTGACAACGGTCTGGGAAACATTCCAGAGGATGATCCGAAAACATGTCATCGCAATTTTGATTCTCTGCAGAGGGGATGGAACCCCCGCTTCGGTAGCCCGACGACCCTCACGCGAAGTCGAGCACTTTACGGTAGAACAGTTTAATGAGGACCAATACCGCACACCCTCGGTCCCTACGCGGACAGATCCAAGAGGTCACCCACGCACACACTGACCGTAACCAGTGATGCTTGACTTCGGCAATCTGTTAGGAAGCGTGTCTTAACGATCAGTCCACTGCGGGACAAAAATTTTGACGAAAAAGTTACAAAAGTATTTCAGGTGTTGTGTTGGAAAACATTTTGTATTAAAAGTGAAAAGTTTGCTTTTAAAACTTTTAAAATTTACACAAAATCATTCATTTATAGCAAAAAGAGAAGCGTAAGAATATCTTCATTATTCTAAAATTAAGAACTTTAAGACTTTGAAATATTTTTTTCAAGCGACATCGTCAGAACAGATTAGAGTTGGCTCCAAACTGTTCTGACCCGTCTCTCATATTATTCAATGAGTTCAAAGAACGAGCCTAGCACCCTACGCTGCAGTCAAGAATCTTAATTTCAAGCCTTCTACACCATTTACTAGTACTTGGTGCTGTCTCTCCTATTGTGCTATCTGTTCTCTTCTACTTGACGAGTCCCGCAGTGGACTGATCATTGAGACACGGTTCCCAGCAGATCACCGAAGTCAAGCATCACTGGCTGCGGTCAGTGTGCGGGTGGGTGACCACTTGGATCAGTCTGCGTAGGGACCGAGGGTGTGCGGTATTGGTCCTCGTTAAACTGTTCTAACGTAAAGTGCTCGACTTCGCGTGCAGGTCGTCGGGCTACCGAAGCAGGGGTGCCATCCCCTCTGCAAAGGATCAAAATTGTGATGGAATGTCTTCGGATCATCCTCAGGGATGCTTCCCAGACCGTCGCCAATAGCCCATTGCGCAGCTCTAGTGCGACGTAAATAACTACAACAACAGCAACAAAATCTACTTGACGAAGGTTTATAAGCCTATTTTAAGCACACAAGCCTGAAAATTTATGTAATTGCAATAACCAATAACCAACCATATACTACTTTTGCTCTACTGTTCACTATTTGGATGTTATTCTGTTTTTCTGTTTTATAACTGGGCAGGAGTCGATTACTAACTGTATGTTAACTTACTCTCTTGACTTTGGTCATAAGCATATAAAACAACATATAAATTTGGTTTATTGGTATATTGGAATTACATACATTTGCAATAGCCCATTGTGCAGCTCTAGTGCGACGTAAATTAACTACAACAACAGCAACTACATACATTTGCATACTTGTGTGCTCAATTTAGGCTTATAAACCTTTGTCAAATACAAAAACAGGTAAATAATACAGAGAGGACAGCACGAAGATACATCCAGGATAACAGCTGCATTCGAACCCACTACCTTCACGCTTTGCTCAGGGTTTGGCGGGCGATACCGGTGAGCCAGGGTGGCCACTATAAATTTGGAACAGTTGCAGGGTGCATGCTATTCATTTTCATCCCCCTAAGCAATTATTACACCCAATTGTTGAAGAGCCTTCCTTGTCGAGCGGTGTCGAGTCGATCTGATAAACGCCCTGAAACGTGAGAGTAGTTCGAATTCCACCATAAATCTAGATGTATCTGTGCACTTCTCTAACACCTGCTTAGTGTCGTTGTTATTGTATAATTAACGCCCAACGTATAATTAACGTGCTTGCCGTCTAATTAACGGAAAACGCTCAGTGGCGAGGAGGTAGCTGGTGCGTATTCCGCCCTATATCTATCTATCAATCTATATATATATAGTACATACACACATATACAAACTTATGTTTTCATAACAAAGCACGACTTATAAACCCTTGTCAAGTTGAAGAATTGATAGTACAAATTAGAGAAAGGTATCACAGATAAGCGTGACGCGAAAACGAACTTGCTATCACCAGCATTCTGACCGCAGTCAATGATGCTTTTAAATAATTGGCATCAGTCATATTTTGACGTCATCATTTAAACTTTTATAAAGCGTAGTCACAGAGTGCCGTGTATTCCTTTAAGTATCGGAATTCTCTTAATCACTTCCTTTAATTACTAAAAATGATTGGATATATTTTGCTGTTGCTTACGTTTGGTTTTGCAACTGCCAAAGGTAAAATAAGTTCTTAACATTTTCATGGCGTTAATTTGAGATTTTAACGACTTAGTACGGTTAATCAAAAAGAAATCCTCTCATCGAAATTAACTTTATGAAATTTTAGATGATATTGTGATATTTTTACATACTTTTATAGCATTGCTTTCAAAAATATCTCTCGTGTAGGGTTTTTTTTTGTATATAGTGTACTTTAATATACTTATAATAAGAATATTTAGAAGGATAGTTACTGTAAAATATTTCTGATATAATTGATTATAATTCTAAACATGATTGGTAATATCCCATAAGAATTTAATTACATTAATTATAATTTATATTAGAAATCGCTAATTCAAATTCCATAATTTGAAGCTTTAAGTTATTATAATTATGAATATTTTTGCGGTAAATCTTTAAACTTAACTTGAATTTCAGGTATAAATAAAATATGTATTTTTGAACTATCGAAAAAATATCCTACATATTGATTAGATATTTACTTGATAATTTTAAATAAAAACTTCAGAATACTTATCTTAAATGCTATATTAAAGCTTAATTTGTTAAAATATAATACTAAATACATTGTTGCCGCTTATAAAATTCGATTTTAAACTACTTTCAATTCGAAAATATTTTTTTAAATGCAGATTAACTAAATTATTTTAAGTAATTAAATGACGTTTGTCACTATTTTATCGCAACTTTTGCAAAGTGAAATAAACATTGCCATCATTCCTTTTAGTTTGCAGTAAACAATACATATATGTTCGCATTTATCATTGAATTTGCTTCTATTTGCAGCACATTTTTTATTAATTGAAAGCCTATTGTATTACGATATACTTTTAAGATTTCTTTAAAATTTAAATTAACTTAATATCTTAATCTTTGTAATTTTAAGTCCCGGTGTCTCCATCACTTTAGATTAAAATATAATTTACTTACCTCTTATACTTATAATGAATTAAGGACTTTAAAAATAAATCAAGAAATTAAAAGTAAAAAAATAAACTTAAATGGAAAGTCCAAATAATTAATAATTAAAAGTTCTAATTTTATGAATGTTTAATGTAGTTATTCGAAATATTTGATTTTTTTTTTTAATATATTCTCTTAAATTTAAATATCTATAAAGAATTGTAAACTTTCTATTATGAACTTATTTTGTTTCAGTAATTGGCGTTTAAGGTTGTTGTTTCCTAATGATTAAGTATAAACAAATTGCCATTAACAGCATATTTTAAAATCAGGATTCGAAATTTAACTCAATTTCACATTATTGCTATCGAACACTATGTAGCTAAAAGTGTTGATATATGCTTCAACTTTCTCAATAGTAAAAGCTGAAACTGAAAAATTTAAAATAAAGCATTTATAGCGTCATTTACGAAAAGTAGTAAAATATTTTTATTACTTCAAAATGGTATTTTAATATTACGGTCAAGAGAAATTTTAAGCTATTTTTGAACGGAAATAGTATGTTAATTATGTAAAGTTTGAAAGCTAATGTCTTTACTTCGAGATCTGTGCGCGGCGTGACGTCATGAGGAGGGAAATCAGAAATATTAAATTTGATGGTAAAAATCATGTCTTGAATGTTTTCAATTTTAATATGAAAACAAAGGACTGTTGCAAAAACTGAAAAAAATAATTTTGATTTAGGTAATTTTTAAATTTTACTGCGTCTTTAACTTTGTTTACGTGTCTGATAAATGCTAGCTTCTGTAAGCAAATATTTACTATAGAATTGACAAAAATTAGTTAATTTTTTGACTGACTTCCCTTTTATACTGTCAAAATTAGTTTATTGCATTTAAAACTTGTTAATTTTCAAGGTTTATTTTCAAGCTCTATTTATTTTAGTTAATTTTCAAGCTATTAGTTAATTTGCGTGTGAGACTAATTTCATAATCATCAAACTCTAATCAAAACTAATAATCAAAACTCTATCTTAGCCAGTTTTAAATAAATTCTTTATCCTCGGCCATATTTATTTTAGGCCATAGTTCTTCAGTCAGGTTTAGCTCAGAAGTTTGTTTTTGGGTATTTTGATTAGATGTTTAAGTGAATATATTTCGGTTTCTCACTTGTGTTCTTAACTGTCTCAACTTATCCGACCTAGTTGAAATTTGTTGTATTTATATCATTACTGATTATTAAAATGCTTTTACAGAATTGAGCTCTTCATCATGCAAATTGAACCAGTTTCCATGTAATAACGGACAGTGCATCAGCAGAAATCAATGGTGTGACAAAAATGCAGATTGCAGAGACAAATCGGATGAAAAATTTTGCTCAAGAGGGTCGTTTCAAAATGCAGGTATGCATTTAAAGATTCAAATTATGCATATTGCTAGCAAGCGTAGTTAATAAATGTTCATTATCTTGTTAAAATACTAAGGTTGAAAACTTTAAAATTTTTTTAAGCCATAAAAGGTAGTTTGCAAATTAAATACTGACTACTAGACTTCTTGTGAATTAATGTTACGTATATTTTAAATTAACTGGCATCTGAGTCTGCAGGTAAAAAAATTTCTTCCCTGAATTGCACCGGTTCAGAACAGTCATCTTATGGTATGTAATACTTATTAAAACCTGTTTATTTTAAGTTTTGTGAAGAAAAGACTGGTTAAATATCAAAGTAAAATTTCGGGGTAAGCTTTTGCTCTGAAAAGAATATTACTTCCGTATCATGTTTTGTAGTTGTAAAGGGAAAAAATGTACTTAACTTCAAAATTTAAACTCTATACGAGATTTGCTTGAAATCTTGTGGAATATTTCAAATTATTTATTCCTTTTCGCACTTTATAATTTCCTGGGAAACTAGAATTGCTGTTGTAGGTGTATTAATTTTTCATTGGGAAATTGCTTACTCTTGTGAGAATCAAACTTTATAATAAATTTTCAGCTGCGTAAATCAAGCCTTTTTAAACATTTGCGAGAATTTGCTTTCTTTAAAAATTGAAAGCAAAAAGCTATACTTTAAATTAGTAAGTTTTGAAATTCGGGCAAAAGGAAAAATTAAGGAAACAATTTGAATTTCAACTCCCTGTATTCTTTGGCGTAAGGCCAGTTTTACATTTTAAACCATACGTAATCATAATTTATGTCCTAACCAGTTACATAGCATACCTTATTTCGATAGCCAGCATACTTGTGTCTATAATACTATAATTTCTCTTCACTACAGCTTATAATAGTTGAAACTTAAACCTAAAATTTAACATATGTGTAGAATAAAATACAAATCCTTAGAAATATTTTGGCCCAGTACAGGAAAGAGGCTGTTGTCGAATCGGATAAAACTGCAAATTATGGACAGCCACTGCTAGTGCAGGTCATCCGATGCAATAGATTAAGATGGTTTGGCCATATCTGGAGAGGTCTAGAAAATAATGCAGTCCGAATCGCCACCTTTAAAAATCCTTCTGGATCTCTGGCTAGAGAAAGACCTCCATCTAGATGGCTGGATGACACTGCTAAAGATCTAAAAGTGTTAAAGATAAACAACTGAAAAAAAGTCGTCATGGACAGGAGGTGTTGGAGACTACGTGTGGTTGAGGCAGCCAAGGCCTGTAAGGGGGCTACCGTGCTGAAGAAGTGGAATAAAATTTATCCTTAATTTGTAATAAAACGTCATACTTAAATAACTTTAGCAAAGTTTAATCGGTATGTAAATTTTAGAAATTTTGAAATCTTTAATTTTCAGATACAGTTCAGCATAAAATCTAAAGTAGCTCTCTGGTTTTACGGAAGCCTGTTTGAATCCGTGAGTTTAAGCAAATAGAAATCTAGACAGGAAAAACGTAAACGGGGTGAATTTCAAAAGGCGATCGGGTCAATATTTTGCTATAGAAAAGTTCGACGAGGGGGTTCTGTTAACATGACTTATTTTTTTTTTAATTTTGACTATTACTGGGAGATCACTCTTTTCTTATTAGTAACTAGAAGCATCTATTAATCTTGTAAGTGGTTAATAGAAACCAGATATATCAGATCGGTCAAATAGATTACCGTTGTCGTTCAGACTCAAGTCATTCGTCCAATAACATTAACGATGCTAAACAGAGCTAGTGTTTGGATTGGTCTCTCTAAAGTGGCACTGATGTAAAATCTGTGTCTTACTGAAGATCTGTGCAAAAATCACTGCCGAACCTTAAATGCTTTTGAAGAAATTTATTTATGCATTAAAACTTAAGCTTTAAGAAAGTGGAAGCATTAAATATAATCTTCTCAAACCTCCCTTTTCGGTCTCTGGTAGAAGGTAATTAGGGCTACTTTGACCCATCAATCTTAGAATTTTAATATCTGAAACATTCGTCTTTAAAATCTTTGTTTAAATTAGTATTTTAAATACTAATTTAAGTTAGTATTTAACGATGTATGTAATAAATGTAATATGTTATATGTAATAAACGTTTGAATGCTCCTTTATTGACTAGATACTAGATGTTTTTAGGCCATCCAAGGTTAAGATGATGAATTTTTAACTATTTATAAATTCATGATCAAACGTCACTTCAAAGGTAGATATAAAAAAAGAAACCTTTTGAAGGCTACTAAGTTTTAAACTTGTCTTTAAAAAAAATTACCTTATGTATACTTAAAGTTCGAAAACTGTAAGATCAATAATTTTCAAAATCCAAAAGGCAATACTCTGCTATATTTTTAGGCTTAAATGTTTTGAATACTGAGATTTATTTTAAGTTGTAAAAATTTATTTTAAATGACATATTTCGCGATACATTTTCTCAAATTTGTGTCTAGTTTCTTTGGACAAATACAAAGTACTTTTTTGAGTTCACAGTGAAGAATAAGTCTCCTGCAGTAGCGCTACTTTTCCTAAAGTTTATAAGTACGATATCTGCATACTGGTATGCTTAAGCCACTTCATTTCATGTACGCCACTTTAAGAACATAGACTTTAGGAAGTTAGAAAGCTACGTTACGACAGAGTTAACGGCACGCAACCGCAGATAAAAATTAAAAAGAAATTTAAACTTGTAAAAAATTAACTTATTATAGATGTCAATAGTATTGTAATTCCAGTAATAATCCCAGAGTTAGAATTCTAATACTGAAATTCTATTACTAAGAAATTCAGGATTAAAATTTAAATTCTGGATTTATTCATAAATTTGAAGCAAATGATTTAAAATTAAACGTTGTAGTTTCTTAAGAATTAGATTTATTGTTCTAAATTGCAGAATAACGAATTTACCTAATTTCACTGAGTTCCTGTAATTTTCCTTAAAACTTCGCATTCCTAGCTTGACTCTGGCTGTAACAAAAGCAAATTTATCCTTTGTTAATCCGTAAAGTAAACGTTATTAAGAACAAAATCCTAATACCATCGACGAAATAAGGTATTCATGATGTCTTTTTCGGTAAAACCCTAGAATACGTTATACGCTCAGAGGGCTTTGAAAAGAATGCAGAAATGAGGCATGTCTCCAAACCTTTGGTGGACCGGTCAGTGGCCCATTTCCTAAAGCATCAGTTGGGTAGACCATGTAAATGTACATCTGGCATTCGCTCTTATACAGCAAAACTAAAATTAAACTATTTAAGAAGTGCCTTATAGCCAAATCTATAATTGCAGATTGCAAACTTTATCGCCTTCCCGGACATCAATTTTTGCCAAATCAACAGTGTAACGTATACTACGATTAAGCAGTCTTTTTCTTTTAAATATTGAGCTGATTATGAGTACTACTTAATACGATTTAGGTTATTTGTTTTGAAACTTATAAACTTGTTATATAAATTCGTGTAAAATTCAAACCAAAGTATTATCGTGATCTGAAACTTTACTTGAGCAAACTTATGGCATGAAAATTTAAAAAAAGATCAGCGTCCAATATTTGACTAGAGAAATTATTTTAAGTTGCATAGTCCAAATACAACCTAGATCATAAAGTAGCGTTGTCTTTTTCTAGATCCCAATCGATGTAGAGACAAACCGTTACTGTTTTTGTGTAGTGATGGAACTTGCATTCCGGTAGTTGGTAGATGTGATAATGCTTATGATTGTCCTGATAATTCAGATGAGATGAACTGCCGTAAGATATTTTTTGTACTATTTTGATTCTAGGTCTTTAGAGTTTCTTATCAAATTTAAAAACAGTAAATTATAATAAAGTGTAATCTGTCTTGGTTAATAATAAGACTGAAAATCTTACTCTTATTTAAAGCAATTAAAAAAAAATTACATTTGAAGTAAAAATTTTCAATTCTTGCATTCCTATATTAAAAAAAATTGCTTCTACAACCTATTTTGAGAGTAATATCGCGAAAATTTAGTTTAACACAATTTTCTTAACTTTCAAATGAGTTTAAATCGTAGTTGTGGTGTGCAGTATATTTAAATTTTACACGAAGTTTCAAAAAAGTTATTTAAATTTAATCAAATCATTAACAATTTTAGCGTCAACCATAAGCATTTTAGTAAATTCAAACCTTAATTATCAAATTTTAGTTCACCAAATTAAAGATTTATCATTCTATTTTACTTCATGTATATTTGACAATGAGTATGACAATACTGCTCTATGAAAAACAGTAAATTTGGTATTTCTAAGAACTGAAGCTGCTATAATGAGTTATTCTATTAATTTTAACAGTTCCTGAAAGAGCAAATTTGGAGACATTAGCAAGCGAGACCACAAATTAGGGATTAAAAGTGTTTACTTAAGCTCTATTTTGTTTGAAAAGTGTTTCCCCTAAAAAATGGTGGAAATTTAAAGCAATAATTTAAATTTCTGAAAGTTTGTAATTTTTAGAATAAGTGTCACTGTTTCACTAATTCTTTATACCTAACATTGTTTAACTGTTTCAGCTGTCAACTCTTACAGAAATAGTGATGTACTTCCAAAACCTGTACAAGCCCAAGCAGCTCAAAACACGCCTTCGTACAATTATCGCAACTTAGAAAGCAGTTCATATACCGATCTTCCGTACAAAAACTTCAAACTGCAGCTGAGTTCGGCTCGTGACTGGATAAAATCTCAACAAGAAAAGAACTACGGGTGGGGTGACTACACAGCCAGAGCAGTTATTTCAATGTACTTGTCAAGAGAAAATGTGTTTCCGAAGTCGGAAGAAGACTTGCTTATGGACAAACAATTGGACATTGAACTATTTGTAGCTTTAAGGAGGTGAGCTGTTTAGGTACTAGAGTAGTTTCAGAGTAAGAAGTTAGTGATTTTTATTAATGCTATCAGAAATATTCTGAAATACGAACTTTTGTAAATTAAAAAAAGCTAAGGTAATTTCTTACTGTGCTATAAATACATAGTAACTTCTGAGTTTTAAAAGTTTCTACAACCTACGTAGATTAAAATTTTCATTTTTCGAAGAATTTAGGTTCTAATAGTTTAATACTGGAAACTGTTAATACTAGAGGCAACTAAAAATTAACCTTTGATCTGATGCCTTAATTTATTTAACTATAAAAAATGGTTTGGCTGAAAACCACGCTCTCTATTTTCAAACGAAACTGTGTGGATCAGTTTAAATTTCGTCTTAAGCAAATGCTTAAGACGAAAATATTAAACGTAACTTTAAATATTAAACGTAAATTACTTACGCCATTAATAGTTTGTTACACGGATCACTCGCAGTGTTGTGAAAACTCCAAAACTCTTTTTCACAATCTTGGTTTCTATAAATTAATTAAATATGTACTCATAATTAAATTAGCATACTTAAATTGTACAAAAATAAAATTTGGAAAGACAGGAAATAAAATTTCTATCGATCACTTAAGTCACTGTGAAATCCTGCATACGATTTGAAACAAGATTTGCATCAGACTTATTTCAAATGTTATGTTTTTGAATATATTTTTCTACGGTTTTTAATTTAAAAGCTACAGAAACACTTTTCATGGTCAGATTCTGATCTCTTAAGCTTTTAAATCTAAAAGGTTTGCTCTTAGTGTTACGTAACATTTTCTTATTCATAGATTTACTGTAGCTAAAGGTCCGTAGCCATATGCTTTTATTTAAGAACCTATTCATGTTTAAAATAGTGTTCTATAATTCATGGAACTATCGTTACAATCCCATTAATAGTTACATAATCTATAATTAGAATTTGTATCTGTAATCACATTTAAATATAAAGTCAAAAGCATATTATCTCATTCCAAATGTGTATTTAAACAAGAAAAACGTTCTTGAAATTGTCACTTTCTTAGTGAGTGCAATGGAAGACGTAAATTAGCTTGATTATTTGGCGAAACTTTATTAATAAAACCTTTAAATGTGTCTCCTAGTACAAGTACCTTTTGATTCTAGTTTCCATCAGTGTTTCATCAGATTTTGGTAATATATTTTACATTTTTGAAATTTTTAATATGCATGCTTTTTGAAATTTTAAATATATAAAGGGTGGTCATGCCGGAATATCCTGTATAAATTTTTATGCTAACCCCAAATATGTGACGAAATACAAAACTCCAGTGCCTTAAATTTACTTAAAAGAAAGTAACTTTCTGGCATAACTGGCAAAATTTTATTTTGCGCTTAAAACGGATTTGAAAAATATTAGTGTTTAAGAATTTTTTTTCATGCAAATTAAGACATTATTAAGTTTAACAGTCAGAAATGTTAACTAATTCTTTTTTTATTCAGAAATGAGACTAACACACTGTCTCTCTGTGAATTGGCTCTCTATATAAATGCATTGCTGGCTGCTTGCAAGAACCCTAGAAATTTCTATGGATATAACTTAGTAAGCGTTCTGCGGGAGAGAGTAGATAAAGTCTACTTGACGTATCAGTATGTAAGCCCTCTAGTCCATTTGACGTTATGCCTCAGTAATGCTACAAGATATACAGACATGCAGTCACTTAAAGACTTGTTTAATCGGAGTGTTATCGTAGACAAAGTCGGTAAGTCTTAGTCTTTTTTTTATTATAGATTCTATATTGCTATCATTTTAAGTTTTTAAAATTTACAGTTTAATGAGCATGAAGTTTTACATTTTATTTTCAATCCCTTGAACTTTCTGAATCAAAAGCTGCTGATTCGAGTTTCGTAAGTTGTGAGAAAATAAATATGAAGTTTCAGTTTCTACCTGTTCAATCGCAAAATGAAACTAAGCCAGTTATTTATAAAATACAGATGGAAATGTTGCAATATGAAACTCATAATCTGACTGAGGTAGAATGTCTTGAAGCACTAGTTGTATTAGTTTCCTAGAATTAAGCTAAAATGAAGACAACGAAATGCCTCTAAAATGTAACTTTTCAAAATTTTGAGGTCTTACTTAATTCTTATTTTTGTCCATAATTCAGTATTGCAATTTGCATCAAATGCATGAAAATCCAAAATTTTCCATGTTGCGTGGGTGATTTGGACTGAAATCAATAGAAACAATGAATTTTCACTAAAGTAGGGGAGAGTCAGGTAGCCCCGCCCACTTAAGGAGTATTGCTTATATTTCTGTATAATGAGAAACAATCAATATTTTTGTATGTTTACATTGTTTTATCTAATTAAATAATGCAAAACGAATAAACCAAAAAAGACTAGTTTAACTGAAAAAAATAAATTTAAAAATTTGACTACTGTATTCAACATATTTTCATACTTGAAACGTTGAAAATCTTTTCTTAATATAACAATTAATTTCCGATGACCCATTGACTTGAAAAAATAGCCTATACATATAAAATTGACAGTGGGTGGAGGTACCCGACACTTCCCTACATGTTAATTTAAGGAAATCTACTCATTAGAACTAAATTTAGATTTCGCAGTGAGTACACAAGGGGCTAATCTATCAGATTCAGTTTGCATTAGATCATGAAAGATAGAGTAAGATTAATTCTTATTTTAAGAATGTTATTTTTGTTGAAGAAATTTGTCTCCATACATAAAACTTAACTTACTGACCTCTTATTGCAGTGTACCAACTTAATCTTCACATTTAATCAGCTTATCATTCAATTGATTACGTCACTATCTTCAGATTAATTTCAGACTCCCACGAAAACTCGAATTGGATTTTAAAATTTAATTTTTTCCTCTGTAATCGTTAAAGAAAGTCAAATTATATAGGGCAAAAAATTAGTGGTTGCAAACATTGGCGATGCACGTTTCACTGCTTTAATTGCAGGGTAAGAAAATGCTTAGTAAAACAGCACAGTATAGTAGCTTACTCAGGAGATCGCCTAAGTGAAAAGTTTTCATCCTGGTCTTCCGAAATAAAATAGGCTTAGGTTGCTAGGTTCATAGGCGTATATCTGTTGATGGCACACTCCTTGTCCCTGACTATTGAGCAAGAGTGGCAGAAGAAAAATGAATTCGAGAAAGCAGAAAGGATGAGCTATCAAACTGAATATAAATTAGAATTTTTTCATATTCAAAGTTTTTTGAACTTTGCCGTTGCTTCATAACAAGTCTTTACATTTGAAAAGAATGACAGAAATTTTATTATCACTATTTGAGTGTATTTTAGTATTCTCAGTTTTCACTTTGCATTAAAAGTAAGATTTTGAGTTTTTTTTATGAAGAAAATTCTTTAACTTAAAACTTAATCTAATGAACTAGTGTTCTCAGTTATTTAATTTTATAACCATTGGTGAACAGCCGAATCAATTTTTAGTTAGCGACTAATGTTAAACTCCGTATCCTTGCAATTTTGAACCGAATCTAGAAGACAAGGGCACTCCAGGATCAAGTATTCGGAGAAATTTACCTTCTTATAGGACTATTTGAACTAACCCGTATTTGCGTTACATGGAGAGGAAGACCACGAGAAACTCCCACCCTTAGGCTGAAGGCAAGGAGACTCTAACCAAAGATCACTCTACCACTACGGATATTTCACGTTAGCACTGTGGTCTGTGCAAGCCATAAGCTGAATTCTTATCGAACAGCTATCGTTGGGCTTCAAACCCGGTTGACATCTTTGGAAGGCAAAATCTCTGAGTCATCGTGTCACCCAATCAATCAATTTTTATAACTCTGAAACAGCTGACTCATTTTTTAGGTTTACTACTTCAAACTTTAAACTCCATATCCTTGTAATTTTGTACCTAATCTAGAAGACAAGGAAGCTCCTGTTTTGGATGTAAGGAGAAATTCGCCTTCTCGGAGGAATTTTTAATGAAACTAACTCCATTTGCGTTACTAGGTAAAAAAAAACCTTCCATGGTTGAACTGATGGCAAGGTGCTCTAATGTAGACGGGTAGACTGACCATTCAATTCATTACCATAAATGTCATTGGAAAATATGTTCATTGGTAAAATTCATATGAAAATGTTGAATATGAGAAATTTCATCGGACTATGGCTCGCCGTAAAGTCAAAACAAACTGATATGCTGCAGGGTAGAATAAGTTCGCATAACGCTCGCATCCATACTGCCAATCTGCTGAAACGTTAGATTTGGCATGAAAACAGCAATACTTCCGTACAGCAGTAATTTTGCCTTCCCTCATTTAAAACTACCCGAAGGAGGACATACATAGACTAAAGACGCATTCTAAATGTAAGGTGGGATGGTGGTTCTGTGACAAAACAAACTCTCCTCTAGGACTGAAATTGATCATGTAACGTTCCTTTGAGCGAAATGTATTATCTAGTTTGTCAATAACTATGGAATAAAACAAATTCCTTTGCCACATTGAAGATGTTTAATATTTTCTATTTATGAAACTGCCTGAATTAAATATTAAACACTTGTGTAATCATGTGGTAAAAAGTTTCGTAACAAAACAGGCATGTATTTAATTGTGCTAATTTCTTTTTCAGACCTTATATCCCTTGCAGTTTTAGCTTCGTCCTGCATTATCAAAAATAAGCGCTACAACAGCCCGCAAGACCATAGAGATTTCATAAATCGGTTATTGAACAGGATAAAGAATTCCGGTCCACCCGGAAATATTTACGAGCTCTCACTTGCAATGCAGGTAAGTGTTAAGTAATTTAAAGCGGTTCGGCTTAAATACTTAAAGTAAGACTTTTAAATTGTTCTCATAGTCGTAAGAGTAAAATAAACCATAAAAATTAATCATAATAAATTATCTTTTCTATTAGATTTAGTTCGATAGCAGTATAAATCTCTAGTGATCCATTTTTCATGCCTTTAGCCTAATCCAACAAAATTTAAAAATTATTTATAATACAAATCTTTTTTTAGGCCTTGAATGCAGCAGAAGTTGATCCTAGTGAATGGGAAAGGGATGTAGCAATTGAGTCTATTCTAAGGAAGCAGAATGAAAATGGGTCATTTGGTGATGTCTTGGGAACATACTACACTATTCCAATATTATCCGGAAAGTCCTTATTATCACTTTCTAATCATTGTGGCCAAGATTTCTCAAATGGTAGCTATATTGTAAACAAGCATTAGCTTAAATTCTTTACGAATGTATATTTAGATATTTAGGTTTACAGCTAGAAGTGGCCCAAGCAATAGTTGGTAGAAATGACCACCTTTCCAAATATCTTAAAAGCCAGTTTCAGAATATCTAAAAATAAATCTCTTCCCAAGGTACTCCAGTGGCAGTCTTTAAATAGCTCTTTTACTTTTCACAATTTCCAGTTTCTAGAATGCATGACCTTAATCTCGCCTCTACTAACACTGACAACTCAAATAAGTCGTATCATTCTTGAAGCTGAGAATAAAATTTTAGTTTAATCAAGAATATTAGTTTACTTGGTCACTTTTGTGCTAAATTCTGTTACTGTTCTGCATTTTCTATGAAATTTCTTATTTCACTTAAACTTTTATTTTAAATATGCATAACTTTGTTGCATATGTTTTGTAAGTTTCTAAATTTCAATCATGCTACTTTTAGTTTTCATATGCGGGTATTGAAGATTAGCAGTCTAAAAATTTATCACTTTGTAGGTCTACCTTCGGAAACCTACAAAATCAATTTAAAGGAAATAAAACGAAGTAAATGCAAATCTTACCAAATAGCAGTTTCATTGCTGTTGAATCTAAACTCACAGGATTTGCCTAAATGATTTCTTTAGTTCAAATGACTAATTACAAGGCCACTAAGTGCAAAGATATAGGCTAAGGAAGCACACTCAGTTTTAACTTATATGAATGAAGCCAGTTTTATGAAACCAATAATGCTAATGGTTAAAGCTGAGGTGTGGTGGCTTAGGGGATAAAGCTCTAGACTCCTAATGAGGTGAATCTCGTTAAGCTCCCAGCGATGTCTGGTCTATGCGAACACCGCACCCGGTTCACACTGACCGCAGTGCTGAATTAAAATATCCTCAGTGGTAGACTGATAAAGTGTTAGAATCCCCTTGCCTTCAGGGTAGCTGTGGGAGACTTTCGTAGCTTTCCTCTCCATGTAACACAATTGCGGGTTAGTTGCGTCCACGAAGGAAAGTTTCTCCCTGTAATTGATCTATTAGTTCCCTTGTCTTCAAGATGGAGTTCAAAATAACAAGATTTCAGCTTTGGATATTGCTAATCGTAAACCCTGAATTCAGTAAACTGTTCAATGACTGTTATAAAATAAAATGATTAAGTCTAATAAGTAGTTATTTGCAACTTTACACAGATGAGAAATTAATATATTTTAAATTTTGTTTTAACTATATGTCTAAGTTGCAATTTAAAGATTTTCTTTTTCTTTAAATCCTCACTCATTGCAAACTGGAATGATAAAAGTAGTAATATGGTAAATTCACATATCTAAATTAAATGGTTTTTAAACACAGGTGGCGAAATACAGGGCTGAAATGGTATAGCGACTCCAACTTGGTTGTTAAAACTTTAAATAACGTGTCAATAAGGATTTATACATATAAAGCGAACGTTTTAGACTTTGAATATAAACTTGAAGTTCAAAAGTTAATAAGTTTTCTAAATTTAATGTTTATTTACAACTTTCATTAAAAATGTTTGAAAAATTTACTTTATTAAACTAATTTGAGAAAATAACTTTCAATGTTTCAATTTTGATAACTTTAATATTTCAATTCAGACAAATTACTATTTTAAGAGCTCATTTTTTAACATTAAACTACCTATTTTTTTAGGAAAGACTCCCTTAGACATCCTGAAGAATACAAAGAAAAGGAAAATTTCCGTCACTTACACTTTGCGTTTTGGTGATCCTATGGAAATGTCACAAATAATCACACTTAAAGTTGCAGAGGGAACAAACTTCCTGGATGTCATGCGATTGGCAGAGTCAGAGAACCAAATCTTCAGGTTTGAACAAATTTAAACTTTACTAACTTACCCGACTTAAAACAAGGTGTTTTAGTGCCTTGTATACTACCTTTATAAAACTTTAAGCAAATTAAATAAGATGTCCCATAATACTATACCGTATTGTACTTGCAGAAAGTACAGTTTTAAAAATTGAGCCCAAATTAATACTTAATAGGCTTTATTCAATGAAGTACAATTTTGATCCTTAAGAGTTGAAAGTGGGTGTCGTATAACCACAGAGGGTTAAAACAAATCGTCGTAATTTTATACGAATCTGAAAATTTTACCCTTGACATATGAATATAAATTGTTAAATCCGCATGAAGTTCTATTTTAAAAACTTAAATGCCTCTTGGTTTATACTGAAAACCTTTCCTCTTTGTTTAACCACGGAATTTATCTGAAGTTTGTAAAATATTTCCTTGAAGTATTGTGGCTTTTGTTTCCTACTCTATATTTATATTTTCTATGCATCTTTTGTTTCATGAGAATTTTTTTTTTATTTCCAAAGAGCTGCACAATCGGTCTTGTCGATAAGCAGACCTAGTGCGTTCTCCAGAGATGGTATCCACTATTTCAGGACCACCACAATGGGTGAGATACCGTTGGTCATGTTAATTTGGACGTCTAGTTTCTGCCACACTAGATGGCAGCACCGAGACTCTAGAAGATATACTCTATAAGTCTGAGATAAATTAACATGAAGACAAATTTAAGCTTAAAGGCAATATAAGCACAAAATGTATAATTTACAAATTTGTAATCTATTAATAATTGCAACTTCTCCGAATTCAACGTCTTATAGTGATACAAAAATTTAAATTGCCTAAAATCTAGGTTTTATGATGTAAACAGTTTAATAACTCAAAATACCGTTTTGAGGTCTTTATAACTTTATCTTTATAAAATGTTTATTTACAATGAACTTGTACTTAATACATAATTTAATATTTAAACTGTTTTATCAGAAATTAAAAAATATTTTTGAATTCATAACTTTATTTGAGATTAATGTTTAGAACGGAAAATGTGTATAAAAGTTAATTGGGATTTATTTTGTAATGCTTCATATTTAAGTTCCGTATAACCAAAAAGCATTTTCAATAGATTTTTCAAACGAATAGTGCATTGCAAACAAATTTTTTTCTCATTGACCTATAATTTCACACTAATGTATTTTGCAGGTTCAGTTTGGATGAAACTAAAGATATTCCATTTGTCTACTCAATCGGAGGTGTGCCGAATGACGCCGAGCGTGGATTATATTGGACATTGCATGTTCGAAGTACTCGGCCTCCTTTTGACTTCCTTTCTTACGGAGATGGTAAGCATTCTAGAGCATTTTTTTGCAACTTATGTTTACATTATACACGGATTTATTGTAAATTGTAGTAAATTTAAGTCCGAATAACGACAAATTAAGTTTTGACAATTTTTATAATTTTCGATTATTAAAATTTAAAACATTTAGACTGCGTCAAAATATTAGCAGATTTTTATAAATTTGAGATTTATCTTGACAATCAAAAGCATGACTTTACATACCACCCATTCCGTAGTTCTGGGGCAAGTATTTTAATTTATGCTATTGGATATTAGATTTGTTTCTGCTTCTAAAATTGCAATGACATTGCAAATAATTGTCTACCTGCATATATTTTTAATTTAGTTATAATACCTGACTTGCAACGTTCAAAATATCGCAATTGAATTTTTCAAACTATTTGCCAGTTCTGAACCTTTACCATGTAAGATTAGATTTTCCCCTTAAGATAGTGTTAAATGACTTTCTGTAAAATAAGTCTTGGACAAAGCTCAATCAGCCTCTATCTTGTGTTTATACTGTAATAGTTAAGCTCTAATTTTCTCAGCCAGGCGGAATACCGCGTTTACTTGAAGTATACCTTACTCAGATTTCAAAACTCGGAAAATTTAACAGTATTTCACTGGAATAAGAGTAATCGTTAAGTTTAATGAAAACCCTTCAAGTAATACAACTGGCAATAATGTAACTGAATTTTATATTTTTCAACTCAAATCACATTTCTACCCATACGGTAATAATTAAATACGGATAATCTTAGTGATCGTTCCTTCCAATATGGTTATCTTTCTTGAATCAACCGTAGAGTATTTCGCAGTCAGATTTACTTTTAAGCATATTTATCTAAAGTTTGAAACGTCAAGTTCTTGAGGCCGTTTTGACAGCTAACTGCCGTGTCACATGCCTCCCGAAATATTTAAGTATTTACATCTTAAGGTAAATATTGCTTTAAATTAATTTTCTTGAATTTTTATTTCAGATATTAAAAAGCTAGTTCCCAGCGACCGAGGAGAGATCAGATTTTCACAGAAACAAATGTAAAACAACTTATTAAGTTTTTAAATTTTTGTTAATAAAATGTTAAAACTATGTGATTTGTTTTTACTTTCCAGCTTTGTTTAATTTATCTTGTCCTGCTAATCGCAATTTGTTTAATTTAACCTATATTGGCAAGTTTAAGTATCATTGCGCAAGTTTAAAATGATAAACATAAGTCATAAAGAAACTTGGATTTGTAAATCTGCTTCATCAGTGATTTAACAAAGCAGTTAAAAAGTTAAAATTTTAACTAGTTTTTTGATACTAAATTTAAACCAATAGAAAACGTGCAAAGATTTTTTATAAAGAGCTTCATACTGTTTATCTTCTAAACTTGTTCTTTCTAAGCTTTTTTCAAAATTTTATGACGTAACTCTGAGCTTTCCAGAGATGTTAAACTGTAACTTTAGAAACTGAATGGTGTTTCATTGACTTCCCATTTCCTATATTTCCTATATTTGAATATCCTATATTTTGAAACAAAATATAGGATATGAGGTAAAAACAAAATTTCAAATGTAAAGTTTGTAATGGGAATCTTTATAGTATTTGTTTTAAGAACGTATTAAAATTTTTTCAAAACGTTTAATTTCAGACATCTTGAATAGCTCTATAAACAAAATCATATCTGCTTATCATCTATCTATATTATATAAAACGCTAATACGTATGTATCAATAAAACCGATGATATTTCTTTTCTCGAATTGGCAACAGTTTTCATTTTTAATTGATAGGAATCGGCGTGCAAGAGCACGTAGTGAGCATCATATGTCTAATCGGGTGAATTCTCACCGAATTCTCAAAAAAAATTCTCACAAAATTATCTTCATCGAAGCCGATGCTTTACATCCGGCGTTCAGTACTATTTCATGTCTTACAACACATGGTTTTAGTCCTCTGGTGGGAAAGACTTTAAAACAAAACTTACAACAGTTACTTTTCTCAACATCTGAAATTTAGAATAGTGTGATTAAGAAAAATATGCGAACTTTTTTCAATTTGAAATTAATATTGAAATGCACAAGTTTAGAATTTTCTACAGTGAAAGGTTTTCGTAACTTCAGTTTTCAAGAATGTATACAAAAGCTAGACGTTAAGAACGTATCCAATGAGCGAGCAAAGCGAGCATCGGATTGCGAAGCAATCCGAAATGAACTGCGAAAGCAGTTTCGGGGTTGGCGAGCGCTAGCGAGCAGGGGAGGAAGCCTCCTAGTTTAATTTAAACTTCAAATTGAGTTGAAGATTTTTTCAATTCACTTTTGCAACTAAACTTTTCAAGATTAAAGTTTATTCAATTTTTTAAGCCTTTCATTGCTTATGCCTCCCTCTGTTGGAAAGTTTGCCTTTGGGGGATATTGTATATTTATAATCTAAGACACTTAGATTTTAAACATTAGTAAAATATTTAAAATGATATCAGCGTAAGTTTCAGATCATATTTAGTTTTAAAGCTGTTAATGCAATGTCTAAATTTGCTTGTTGTACAATTTATAAAATTTTATTCTCTAATTAGATATCAATTTTACNGCGCGCAAGAGCACGTAGTGAGCATCATATGTCTAATCGGGTGAATTCTCACCGAATTATCAAAAAAATTCTCACAATTATCTTCATCGAAGCCGATGCTATACATCCAGCGTTCAGTACTATTTCATGTTTTACAACACATGGTTTTAGCCCTCTGGTGGGAAAGACTTTAAAACAAAACTTACAACAGTTACTTTTCTCAACAACTGAAATTTAGAATAGTGTGATTAAGAAAAATATGCGAACTTTTTTCAACTTGAAATTAATATTTAAATGCACAGGTTTAGAATTTTCTACAGTGAAAAGTTTTCGTAACTTCAGTGTTCAAAAATGTATACGAAAGCTAGACGTTAAGAACGTATCCAACGAGCGAGCAAAGCGAGCATCGGATTGCGAAACAATCAGAAATGAACTGCGAAAACAGTTTCGGGGTTGGCGAGCACCATCGAGCAGGGGGCGAAGCCTCCTAGTTTAATTTAAACTTCAAATTGAGTGTTGAAGATTTTTTAAATTCACTTTTGCAACTAAACTTTTCAAGATTAAAGTTTATTCAATTTTTTAAACCTTTCATTGCTTATGCCTTCCTCGGTTGGAAAGTTTGCCTTTGGGGGATATTGCATATTTATAATCTAAGACACTTAGATTTTAAACATTAGTAAAATATTTAAAATGATATCAGCGTAAGTTTCAGATCATATTTAGTTTTAAAGCTGTTAATGCAATGTCTAAATTTGCTTGTTGTACAATTTATAAAATTTTATTCTCTAATTAGATATCAATTTTACAAGAAATGAACTATCTATGTAAAATAGCATTTCCTTAAAAATTATGAAATTTTAAAGAATAAGCTAACATGTGTCTCTGAACATTTTGGAAAATTAATAAAGTTCTTACAAAAATTTCCTTTTGAAAAATTTGCAATTATAAATATAAGATCTTTCAAAACACATGTTTGAAATTTTTATCCTAATGTTTTGAGTCTTGGTGCGTAAGGTAATTTGTCTAAGCAACGCTGATAAAGTATTGAAAAACTAGCGCTCAAAAACTATTTTTCTTTAACTGCAAAGAAGTGTTTCTTTAAGAATGAATTTAGTTTTCAATAAATTGAAACAAGTATCTTCTACATCCTACGCGGTATGGGTTTTAAATAAAATATTTTTCTTTTCAGAAGTATGAGTTTGAATTTTAAATAGTGAAATACCACCTACACAATTTGTCTCCTGCATTAATGCTTACGGCTTTTTTTAGATGAAGTTTATACTCTCCCACAGAAAACTTTTTGCTCAACTTTACATACTTAATTAACGGAGTTGTAAACATTGTCAAAGTTGTGCCCAATATGTGCTATCAGCGTCTATTAAAATGCATTTGATCCAATCTTCCAAAAGTAAATTAAAAGCGTTAAAGTTTTAAAAATATTCACTCTTATCGATTTGAAATTAAAAGTTAAAAGTAATGTTATTTTAAAGAGTAACAAAAGTAGTGAGTAATGAGAAGTATACAAAAGCAACCCTGAAAGGGCAAATTGATAACTTTTTTAGATTTTTTTTAATTAACTCTGTGTGATTTTGTCAAGTTTCATGCATGCTGTTGTTGCTTATCCCCTTGGTCTAGAGCACTAGACCAAGTCCAGAAAATCGCGGCGCATCAGCAAGTCATACAGTCTCTCCATCAAGTTTCATACACACTTTCAGGATTGTGAAGAGGTTCAGTAGTTAATCATGTAGATGCAAAAATGCTGGCATTAGGATTTTGAAGAGGTTTAGTGGTTTATCCTGCACATGCAAAAAATGTTCGCACATTCATTCATATTAGAATATTCGTGAATATAGTAAAGATTCTCAGATATCACAATTAACTGACGAAGTATCACTCATTTTGTTTCAAAATTCTCAGGATTAACCTATTTTCAAAAGTTCGGCTAGTGTAGGTCATTTGTGGTGATTCTACGACTCGCGGATCAGGACTAAACCAAAGTCTTTCTAAATTTATTTTTGTACTAACCCATTTTAGGCCAAGCATAGAAATTTTATAAAATGCATTTTCATTTAAATATGCTTAAACTACGTTCATTAGCTCGCAAAAAGTTTCTTGCGGGTAACTAAAAAACAATGGTGCGTATACGCTCCATTTAGTTAAACACTATTTTTTTATGAAATTTGTTTTATTTATAGATCTTAAATTTTTATGTAGGATAAAAGTTACAACCGATCTCAAATGGAATAATTGTGCATTTTCAAAGAGAAATTTTTCAATTACCGTTTCAAGTTAAACTAGAGTAGTTTAAGAATTTCTTAGCAAAAGTATAAACTCAATAAGCCTAAATTGAGCACACAAGCCTACAAATGTATGTAATTAAAATGAACCAATAGACATACACACTGAGTTAATGAGGGAAGGAATTCGCTACAGAGCGTCTGTCTGATAATCAGTGAGACCGCGTGGCCAAACTATGTTTATGATATAATAAATATTATGAATCAGTTGTATTATGTTATTTACAGGCTACACTATTTGTCTGTCTTATAACTGGGCAAGAGTCAATAACAAATTTTATAACCATTTGTTAATTTACTCTCTTGACTCTGATTATTAACTTAATAGAGTATATATTCTTACATATAAATTTATAGCTATGTTACCGGCAAAGTATGAAACGCCGGCATTATATATAATGCCTGACATTCTTGGGCAAAGTATGAAATATGAGAAGTATTACATTCTTTCAATAGGCATTCTGTATAATGCCGGATGCTATTTAGGCAAACTATGAAATAAGCGTCCTGATGAGGTTATTATGTAAATTATATGCATGCTACTGTGAATGACCGAAATCAGTGGTTGGTGACTTTCACCACTGAAGGTTGACAATCACATAGTCGTTTTGATGAATGTCCGAAATATTTATAATTTCCGATTTGATATTAATTTATTAGTGGATATAATTACATTTATTCAATATTTTAATACTGACTGACGATAGATTAGAAGAAATATCAGTGTTTGGAATATCGGGCAAATTTATACCTGGCAGTGGCACTCGATCTTAAAACAACTGTGAAGGATATACCGGGCAGTGCCACTTAACTAGACCTAGTATGACTAGACCTTTGGTAAATAGCCGAAATATATACTGGGTCTAGTTAAGAGTCATTGCCCGGTACATCCTACACTGATGTTTTCTTAAGGTTCGGTGCCACTGCCCGGTATACCCTACACTGATATTTTTTTATGATCGGTATATATTTTCCCGATATACCCTACACGGATGTTTTTTTAAGGTTCAGTGCCACTGCCCGGTATACCCTACACTGATATTTATTTAAGGGTCAGTGCCACTGCTCGGTATACATTAGCCTGGTATAACCTACACTGATGTTTTTTAAGGTTTAGTGCCACTGCCCGGCATATATTTGCCCGGTATACCCATCACTGATATTTTTTTAAGGTAAAGTATCATTGCCCGGTATGTATTTGCCCGATACTCCAAACACTGATGTTTCTTCTTATCTATAGTCAGTAATTATTAAATTATCGAATAAATGTAATTTTATCCACGAATAAATTAATATCAAATCGGATGTAATAAATATTTCCGACATTCACCAAAACGACTGTGTATGTCTATATTCACCGGCGAAAGTCAGCAACCACCGACTTTTCATAATTTGCCTAAATAGCATCCGGTATAACGCCTGCTTTCATACTTTGCTATAGCAGAACTGTAACAGATAAAACAAAATGCATGCTATTCTTTTACATCGCCCTAAGGAATTATTTGATCCAATTGTTCAGGGGCCTTCTTGGAAAAGCGGTGTAGCCGATCTGACAAACGCCCAGTAGCGAGGAGGTTGCGAGTTCATATTCCGCCCTAACTCTAGATGTATCTATGTGATGCTTCTCTCTTCATCTGTAACATCTGCTAGAGTTTATATATATATATATATATANTATATATATATATATATACAAACTTATGTTTTCATAACAAAGCACGACTTATAAACCCTAGTCAAGTTGAAAAATTGATAGTACAAATTAGAGAAAGGTATCACAGATAAGGGTGACGCGAAAATGAACATGCTACTACCTGCATTCTGACGGCTGCCAATGATGCTTGACTTTGGTGTTCTACTGGGAATCATGTCTTTACGTTCACTGGGCGACGTTTATGTTGCAATAAATAACATCCCCTTCCACATTCCAGTTTTCCTCACAGATCTCCCGAACCTTTATCTTTATGTACACGATTTTCCACATCAAACTACGAAAGATTCCAACGAAATCCTCCCTCTCTATCAGGAAACCCTCCACACACTTTGGAAAGATTTTACCATCCTGGTGACCGACGCCTTGAAATGCAATACGAACACAGGTATTGCGGTTATTAACTCAAAGAACGAGATGTCTTATATCTCTCAAATCCATCCTATGAACTCAGTTTTCACCGGAGAAGTTTCAGCGATTTGGTTAGGAATCACAAAATTCACCACCGAATATCTTGATTACGTTATTTTATTGGACAGTAAGTCCGCAATTACTGCCCTCATCTCGGCTACCCATAAATCCCATCACAGCATTCTCCTCTTACGAAAAAAAGATCGTTTCAGCAAGTGCAAAAGTGAAATCAATTACGATCGCCTGGTCACCAGCACACGTAGGCATTCCCCCCCAATGACCACGGATAAACTGACCAAACATACCACCAAGCCATCGAGCCATCCCTTTTATCTCACCTGAAGACTTGTCATATTCAGCAATTTTAGACTAAAACCGCGAACTTAATAACCTCTGGACTAACTCAAAATACCACAATCGTTTCTCCTTTGATCACCCTGTTAATAGAACTTCCCTCTATCCACTCCCAAACCGAGAGTACGATATCTGAATCTCGCGTCTCCGAAGCAACACAGTAATCCAACTCAACGCAATGTATGCAAAAATAGGGCTCGTGGACTCTTCTTTGGGAGATCACTGTCAATATCCAGAATCTGCTATCCACCTCCTCTTTGAATGCAAAAAGTGTGAACATCGGAGACTAGCACTGCATGCCTCAATCGGAGTTTTCCCACTTTCGACTCATCGTCTTCTTAGTTATGACCAACATGATAATCTTCTAAAAAACTTAGTGTTTTTTTTAATTGCAGCAAACCTTTCAAATCTTTAGTTTTCAATTCCCTAATTGAATACAGTTACAAATTTTTAAGTTTTTGGCTTAAGCCTCTCTGATTGCCTGGGAAAAAGAGTTTTCTCTTCTTATTAAGTTGTTGTTATTGTAGTTCATTTACGTGACACTAGAGCTGTACAATGGGCTATTGGCGACTGTCAGGTAAATATCCCTGAGGATTATCCGAAGACATGCCATCACAATTTTGATCCTCTGCAGAGGGGATGGCACCCCCGCTTCGGTAGTCCAATGACCTGCACGCAAAGTCGAGCACTTAACTGTAGAACAGTTTAACGAAGACCAATATCGCACACCCTCGGTCCCCACGCAGACTGATCCAAGTGATCACCCACCCGTACACTGACTGCAGTCAGTGATGCTTGACTTCGGTGATCTGCTGGGAATCGTGTCTTAACGATCAGTCCACTGCGTAACTTTTTTTTTGTTAAGAATTTTCTTTTGACGAACGTGTGTCTCTCCAAAAGTGTTGGAACCACCAAATGTTGGATTTTAAATTTATACAAAGTGTTTTGGAAAAATATTTATAATTTTGATCGCCAGGAAAACTACAAATTTCTCATTGAATTTGTTTTGGTTTCTTCATGAACAGCTTACACTTTCACTTTTCCATCATCATCAACAACTCAACTCATCCAAATTTCCACTTGCAGCAAGGAGGATAAGAACGGATAGCATAGATCCTCTACTACATCATCAACATCAACATGTAGCATTAAATAAATAATTGGCATTAGTCATGTTTTGATCTCGACCGGCATATCTGGAAAAACAGCGTTTTTCTTATAAAACTTTCTCTCCAATAAAACCTTCTACATCTCTTGGTGCAACAACCGGTCTAAAGATTTCCAGCAACCCCAGGGCCTCCAGCAGGGCAGTGTGCTCTCCCCCCTTCTTTTTGTGTCTTACCTTAAAGACATTCACAAACACCTTCCCACTGGAGTTCTAATTCTTGTGTTCGCTGATGACATCTACATTTATTACGCTGCAAAAACTTTTGACAGGGTTATTGCTAAACTTCAAGATGCCCTCATCACCATTCAAACTTGGTGCACAGAGTGGAAAATGGCTATCTCACCTTCAAAAAGTGCAACTATTAATTTCTCTAACAAACGTCTCTCACCTACAACTCAATTAACAATTTTTAACGAACGAATTCCTCAAGTTAATTCCATCAAAACTCTCGGCATCCACTACACTGCAAACATTTCTTTCCTCTGTCATTTTCCATACCTAAAAGTGTTTAGTTTCCATACCTAAAAGTCCATACCAAAACCGGGAACTCAATTACCTCCGGACTAACTCAAAATACCACAAGCGTTTCCCCTTTGATCACCCTGTTAATAAAACTTACCTCAATCAACTCCCAAACCGAAAATACGATGTCTTAATTTCGCGTCTCCGAAGCAACACAATCCAACTTAACGCAATATATGCAAAAATAGGGCTCGTAGACTCCCCTTTGTGCGACCACTGTCAACATCCTGAATCTGCTATCCACCTCCTCTTTGAATGCAAAAAGTTTGAACATCGGAGACAAACACTGCCGCCTCAATCGGAGTTTTCCCACTCTCCCTTCACCGTCTTCTTAGTTATGACCAATATGATAATCTTCTTAAAAACTTAGTGGATTTCTTAATTTCAACTAAGCGTTTCTACTCTCCAGTTTTCAAATCCCTAATTAAATACAGTCACACATTTTTAAGTTTTTATTTTAAGCCTCTCTTAGCGCCTGGGAAAAAGAGTTTTTATTCATTAAGAATTTTGTTTTGATGAACGTGTATCTCTAAAATTGTTGGTACCACTAAATGTTAAATTTTAATTTTATCAAATCAACCTCTCCAAAAGTGTTTTGGAAAAATATTTAATTTTGATCTCCATAGTAAATTTGTTTCGCTTCTTCAAGAGCAGCGTATACTCTCACCATCTCATCGCCATCATCATCACCACCAACAACTCAACTCACAAAGATACACCTTACAGCAAGGGAGATAAAGCGAGTAGCAGGGATCCCCCCCTCCACATCATCATCAACAGTCATGTTTTGACGTCATCATTTAGACTTTTATAAAGTGCAGTCACAGAGTGCTGTGCATTCCTTTAAGTAACAGAATTCTCTTAATCACTTTTAATTATCGAAAATGATTAGATATATTTTGATGTTGTTTACGCTTGGTTTTACAACTGCCAAAGGTAAAACATGTTTTTAACTTTTTCATAGAGTTAATTTGGGATTTTAACTTCTTATTTAGTACGGTTAATCCAAAAAAATCATCTCGTCGAAATTATTACCTTTACGGAATTTCAGATGATATTGTGATATTTTTATATACTTTTATAGCATTGCGCTCAAAAATATATTTCTTGTATGTTCTTTTAGTATATAGTGTCCTTTCAATATCATACTTAAAATTAGAATATTTAGAAGGATATTTAGGGTGAAATATCTCTCTGGTGTAATAAATTAGTTATACTTAGTTCTAAACACATGACTGGTAATATCTTATAAGAATTTAATTGCATTAATTATGATTTAATATTATAAATAGATAAATTTAATTTCATAGTTTGAAACTTTAAGTTATTACAATTATGAATGTTTCTTGATGTAAAACTTTGATTTTGGGTAAAAATAAAATATATATTTTTTGAACTATCGAAAAAGCATCTTACATAATGAATAGATATTAACTTGATAAGTCAAGTCTACTAAAATTTTATATAAAATTATCTTCAAATGCTATATTAAAGTTCAGCGAAAATTAATACTGAATATTTTGTTGTCGCATATAACATTCTGTTTTAAACTACTTTCGATTTGAAAAGACTTTTTTTTTAAATACAGATTAACTAAATTATTTTAAGTAATTAAAGTTTGTTACTATTTTATCGCAACTATAGCAAAGTGAAATAAATATTATTAGAATTCCTTTTAGTTTGCAATAAGCAACACATATATTTGCATTTATCAATGTATATGCTTCTATTTGCAGTACATTTTTTATTAATTGAAAGTCTCTTTTAATAGAAAATACTTTAGATTTCTTTCATATTTAAATTAATATCTTAATCTTCGTAGCTTTATGTCCTGGTGTTTCCATCCAGGGCTAAAGAGAGAATAGAAGAGCTAGTTCACACCTTTAAAGAATCTCTCGCCGTGCCAAACCTCCAATTTTCGCCGTGCCGAAACTCCGATTCCCATATTTAAATACTATGAATGAAAATTTTTTAAAGTACAACCAATTGTGATAAATGCTTTAAATTAGAAACAGAAGTTCTGGAACTGTAAGAGAAATGAAACTTTTGAAAAGGACATTAGAAATAAATAAAGAAAATAAAAGTTAAAAAAGATAAACTCAATTGAAAAGTATTAATAATTAAAGTTCTAATTTTATAAGTGTTTAATGCAGTTATTCTAAATAAATTATTCTAAATAAGTTATTCTAAATTCCAACTTCTGTCAGCAAATAGTTACTATAGAATTGGCCAAAATTAGAAAGTTTTTAAACGGACTTCCCCCTTATAGTGTCGAAATTAGTTTATTGTATTTAAAATTTGTGTTAATAAATCTTCAAGGTTTATTTTCAAGCTCTATTTATTTTATTAGTTAATTTTCAAGCTGTGCCTGAGACTAATTTCATAATCATAAATCAATCGAAACTCAATCTTAGCCAGTTTTTGTTAAATTCTTTATTCTTGGTTCTAGTTGGGATCTTTTTTTTTAAGGTCTTAGTTCTTCAATCAGGTCTAGTTCAGAAGTTTGACTTGGTTATTTTGATTAGATGTTTAAGTGAATAGATTTCGGTTTTTCACTTGTGTTCTTAATTTTCTCAACTTATCCGATCAAGTTGAAATTTGTTGTATTTATATCATTACTGATTATTAAAATGTTTTTATAGGAGAATTCGTGAGCACTCTATCATGCAAATCGAACGAGTTTCAATGTTTTAACGGACAGTGCATCAAAAGAAATCAATGGTGTGACAAAACTACAGATTGCAGAGAAGACAAATCGGATGAAAGATTTTGCTCAAGAGGAACTTTTCCAAATGAAGGTACGCATTTAAAGTTTCAAATTATGTATATTGTTAATAAGCATAGTTAATAAATGTTCAATATCTTTTGAAAATACTAAGGTTAAAGACTTTAAATTTTTTTAAGCCATAAAAGGTAGTTTGCAAATTAAATACTGCCTACTAGACTGTGTAAATCTGTGTTTAAATTAGTATTTTTAAATACTAATATAATTAGTATTTAAAAATTAAATTTAGAGGTTTTATTTCTTAGTGGTGGTTTTATCTGTAATAAACGTTTGAATGCTCCTTTATTGACTCGATGTTTTTAGGCCATCCAGTAGGCTAAGATGCTGAATTTTTTACGATTTATAAATTCATGATCAAACGTCACATCAAAGATAGATATAAAAAGAAATCCTGAGTTTCTAAGTTCGTTTTTTAGAAAAATACCTTTATATATATTCTAAGTTCGAAAACTGCACGAGATCAATAATTTTTAAAATCCAAGAGGCAAATTTGTACTCTGCTATAACGTTAGTCTTAAATGTTTTGAGTACTGAGATTACTTTTAAACTTGTAAAAATTTATTTTGAATGACATATTTCAGGATAAATCTTCTCAAATTTGGACAAATACAAATTTTGTCCTTTGGACAAATACAAACTACTTTCTGAGTTCGCAGTTAAGAATGAGTCCTGCTGTAACGCTATTTTAATAAGTTTCAAAATTTATGCGGGACTCTACTTTAGAAAGAACCTTGACTTTAGAAAGTTATAAACTTAGGTCCCCGACGACAGAGTTAACGACACGCAACCACGGATAAAAATTGAAAAGAAATGCAAACTTCTGAAAAATTAACTTATTATAGATGTCAATAGTAATCCCGGAATAATTCCTGTAATGATCCCAGAATATGAATTTTTATAATGAATTTCCAGAATAAGAAATTCAGGATTAAAATTTAAATTTTTGAAGCAAATGTTTAAAAATTAAACGTGTGTAGTTTTAAGAAGTAAAGATCTATTAATAATTGTGTTAAATTGCAGAATAACGAATTGGCCTAATTTCATTAAAATCAGTTCCTGTAATTTTCCTGAAAGCCACTCCTTTCTAGCTTTACTCTGGCAGCAACAGAAACAAATTTAGCCATTATTAATCCGTAAAGTAATCGTTATTATTAAAACCAAAAATGCTAACACAATAGATGAAATAAACTCTCCACGAGTCTTTTTGAGTAAAATCCTAGTATACGTTATACTCGTAGAGCGATTTGAAAAAATGCAGATATGATGGATGTCTCAACTCTTGGTGAACCGGTCAGTGACCCATTGCCTTTAACATCAGTAGGGTAGAACCGGTAAATGCACACCAGGCAGTCACATTAAGAGAGCAAAACTAAAATTAAACTATTTGAAAAATGCCTTATAGTCTAATTTTTAATTGCAGATTCCAAACTTTCTTGCCTTCCCGGACTTGCATTAACTGATGAGTACTACTTAATACTATTTAGGTTATTTGTTATGAAACTTATAAACTTTTTATATAAAGACTTGTAAAATTCAGATTAAAGTGTTATCGTGATCTGAAACTTCACTTAAGCGAATTTATGCCATGAAAATTAAACAGTGTTAAAATCAACGTCCAATATTTGATTAGAAAAATTATTTTAAGTTGCACCGTCCAAGTAAAACATAGATCATAAAGTAGCGTTGTCTTTTTCTAGATCCCAATCAATGTAGACTGGAACCGTTACTGTTTTTGTGTCGTGATGGAACTTGCATTCCTATAGTTGGTAGATGTGATAAAGCTTATGATTGTCCAGATAATTCAGATGAGATGAACTGTAGTAAGATTTATTTTGTACTATTTTGATTTTAGATCTTTAGAGTTTCTAATCAAATTTAAAATCAGTAAATTATATTAAAGTGTAATCTATCTTGGTCAATAATAAGACTGAAAATCTTACCCTTATTTGAAGTAATTAAAAAAAAATTTGCATTTAAATGTAAATAATTTTCAATGCTTGAGTTCCTATATTTAAAAAAATTTACTTCAACAACTTATTTTAAGAGCAATGTCTCAAAAGTTTAATTTGACGCAATTTTCTTAACTTTCAAATGAGTTTAAATCGTAGTTGTAGTGCACAGTATATTTAAAACTTTACACGAAGTTTCAAAAAAGTTACTTAAATTTAATCATACTTTTAGCGAATTTAATGTCAACCATTAGCATTTTAATAAATTTAGGCATAGATTATCAAATTTTAGTTCACAAAAGTAAAGATTTATCATTAGATTATTTTACTTAGTGTATATTCCTTTATCAAAGTGAGTTTGACAAAACTGCTGAATGAAAAGCAGTAAATTTGATATTTCCAAGAACTGAAGATGCTATAGGGAGTTGTTATTCTATTTTAACTCTTTCTGATATAGAAAGTTTTGATTAAAATAAAAAGATTAGCGAGCGAGACCATAAATTGTGGATTCCAAGTCTATACTTAAGCTCTATTTTTTTCCTCAAAAATTTTGGAAATTTAATTCCAAATAGATTATATTTCTACAGATTTGTAATTTTTAGAATAAGTGTTACTGTTGCGGTAAAAGTTTTATAAAATGTATTCTTTATACCTAGCCTTGTTTAACTGTTTCAGGTGTCAACTCTTACAGAAATAATAACGTACTTCCAGAACCTGTTAAAGCCCAAAGAATTCAAAACAGGCCTTCGTACAATTACCGCTACTTAGAAGGCAGTTCCTATACCGATCTTCCGTACGAAAACTTCAAACTGCAGCTGAGTTCGGCTCGTGACTGGATAAAATCTCAACAAGAAAAGAACTATGGGTGGGGTGACTACACAGCCAGAGCAGTCATTTCAATGTACTTGTCAAGAGTAAATGTGTTTCCGAAGTCAGAAGAAGACTTACTTATGGACAAACAATTGGATATTGAACTATTTGTAGCTTTAAGGAGGTGAGCTATTTAGGTACTAGAGTAGCCTCAGAGTAAGGAGTTATAGCGATTTTGATAAAGTAATTTCTTACCGTGTATTAAATATGTAGTAACTTTTGAGTTAAAAATTTAAAGTTTCCATAACCTACGTAGATTAAAAGTTTTACTTTTCAAAGAATTTATTGATAAATTAGGTTTTAATTAAAGACTGAACACTAGAGTGGCAACTAAAAATTAACCTTTGATCTGGTGCCTTGATTTATTTAACTGTAAAAAAAATGGTTTGGCTGAAAACCACGCTCTCTATTTTCAAACTAAACTGTGGATCAGTTTTAGTTTTGTCTTAAGCAAATGCTAATTTCGTCAGATTTTGGTGATTTATTTTATATTTTTGAGATTTTTAATATGCATGCTTTTTGAAATTCTAAATATATATGAAGGGTGGTCATTCCGTAATATCCAGTATAAATCTTTATGCGAACTCCAAAATTTTGTTATGTGACGAAATACTGAAATCCAGTACCTTAAATTTACTCATGTATGAGAAAGTAACTTTCTGTCATTGAAAATTGTATTTTGCTAATTGTGTTTAAGAATTGTTCCTTTTCATACAAATTGAGTATGTAGTAAGTTTTAGTAGCCAAAAATGCTAACTAAATCTTTTTTTATTCAGAAATGAGACTAACACACTGTCTCTCTGTGAATTGGCGCTCTATATAAATGCATTGCTGGCTGCTTGCAAGAACCCTAGAAATTTCTACGGATATAACTTAGTAAGCATTCTACGGGAAAGAGCAGATAAAGTAAACTTGATGACTCGGTTTGTAAGTCCACTCGTCCATTTGACGTTATGCCTCAGTAATACTACAGAGCCAAGAGATGTGAAATCCCTTCAAGAAATTTTGACAGCGAATCAGAGTATCGTGAACAAAGTCGGTAAGTCTCACTTAAAATGTCTTTTTCTTATTACAGATGCTATATTGCTATCATTTTAACAGTTTTTAAAATTTACAGTTAAATAAATATGAAGTTTTACATTTATTTACATTACTCTGGAGAAAGCCATAGTGAAAAGTTTTCATCCTGGGCTTTCGAAATAAAAGCAAACAAAATAGGCTTAGGTTGCTAGGTTCATAAGCGTATATCTGTTGACAGGGGTGAAAGCGAGACTGAAAAAAGAAAAGGCTGGTAGTAAAACCATTTCAGTAATTGCTAATTTTCGGGAGGAGTTTACTTATTCTTTTTTAAACTATTCAACAACTTCTACTTTATCCTTAAGAAGCAGATTTATGTATATACTAAAATCTTAAAGAAATCTTGGAAGTTACACATTATTTTTCTCATAAAAAATGCTATAATAAAATGTCTTTAGTACCAGTTTTTCATCTTTTCCGTCTTGCTATATAAGGGTTTTCAGCCATGTCTGTTCATGACACACTCAGTGTCCCTTACTATTGAGCAACAGTGGCAGAAGAAAAATGAACTAGACAAAGCAAAAGGAATGAGCTATCAATCTGAATATAAATTATAAATGTTTCATATTCAACATTTTTGAACTTCGCCATTGCTTCATAACAAGTCTTTAAATTTGAAGCCTACTTTACAGAATTTTTATTATCACTATTTGAGTGTATTTTAGTATTCTCAGTTTTCACTTGGCGTTAAAAGTAAGATTTTGAGTTTTTTATAAAGAATCTTCAGCAACAAATTATTAATCTAGTGAACAAGTGTTCTAATTGAATTTTATAACCGTTGGTGAATAGTAGACCCTATTTTTCAGTTTGCGACTAATGTAAAACCCGTTTTCTTGTAATTTAGAACCAAACCTAGAAGACAAGGGAACTCAAAGATCAAGTATTGGGAGAAACTTGCCTTCGTATAGGACTTTTTGATGGATTCATCCCTCATTTGCGTTGCATGGAGAAGACCTCGAGACACTCCCATCCTTAGCCTGAAGGCAAGGAGACTCTAACTCAAGATCCGTCTACCACTGAGGATATTTCACGTCAGCACTGTGGTCTGTGCAAGCCAGATGCGGAATCCGTATCGAACCTAGTTCACCTCATTTGAAGGCGAAAGCTCTATCCCCTGAGCCGGCTCCCATTCAACTCAATTTTATAACTGTTGAAGAGCCAACCCAATTTTTAGGTTTACAACCACTATTGTTAAACTGCGTAGCCTTCTAGTTTTTAACCTAATCCAGAAGACAAGAGAACTCGTGTATGGAATGTAGGGATAAATTTGCCTTCGTGGAGGACTTTTTAATTGAACTAACTTGCATATGCGTTACAAGGTGAGAACCACGAAAACCTCGCATGCTTAGCCTGATGGCAAGGGGACTAATGTAGACGGGTAGACTGACCATTCAATTCATTGCCATAAATGTCATTGGAAAATGTTAAGTATGAGAAATTCCATCGGACAATGGCTCGCCGTAAAGTCAAAACAAACGGGATTGCTTTAAGGTAGAATAATTTCGCATAACGCTCGCATCCACACAGTTAATCTGCTGAGAAGTTAGATTTCGCATGAAAACAACAATACTTCCGTGCAGCAATAATTTTACCTTCCCTCATTTAAAACGTTCCTAAAGAGGACATTCATAGTCTTAGGACACATTCTAAATGTGAGGTGAGATGGTGGTTCTGTCACAGCAAACTTTCCTCTAAGACTGAAATTGATCATCTATTGTTCCTGTGAGCGGAATGTATTATCGCGCTTGTCAATAACTTTAGAATAAAACAAATTCCTTTGCCACATTGTAGATGTTCAATATTTTCAATTTTTGAAACTGTCTAAATGAAATATTCTGTACTTGTTTATTCATGTAGTAAAAGTTTCGTAACAAAACAGGAATGTATTTAATTATGCTAATTTCTTTTTCAGACATTATATCCCTTGCCGTTTTAGCTTCGTCTTGCATTATTAGAGATGAGCGCTACAGTCACCCTCAATTCCGTAGAAGATTCGCAAATCTGCTATTGAACAAGATAAATGATTCTGGTTTACCCGGAAATATTTACGAGCTCTCACTTGCTATGCAGGTAAGTGCTAAGTAATTTAAAGCGGTTCGGCAATGCTTAAAGTAAGATTTTTAAATTGTTCTCATAGTCGTGAAAGTAAAATAAACCATAAAAACTAATCGTAAAAAATTATCTTTTCTACTAGACTTAGTTCGGTTGCAGTATAGATCTCTTGTGGTTCATTTTTCTTGCCTCTAACCTAATCCAACAAAACTGAAAAAAAAGATATTTATAGTGCAAATTTCTTTCCAGGCCTTGAATGCTGCAGAAGTTGATCCTCTTGAATGGGGAAGGGATGTAGCAATAGAATCCATTCTAAGGAAGCAGACTGAAAATGGGTCATTTGGTGATGTCTTGGGAACATACTATACTATTCCAGTACTATCCGGGAAGTCCTTATTATCTCTTTCTAATCACTGTGGCCAAGACTTCTCAAATGGTAGCTATATTGCAAACCAGCATTATCTTAAATTCATTTCGAATGTATATTTTGGAGTGCAGATAGAAGTGGCCAAGGCAATAATTGGTAGAAATGACCCTGTGTCCAAATATCTTAAAGGCCAGTTTCTGAATATCTAATGCCCAAGGTACTGCAGTGGCAGTCTTTAAATAGCTCTTTTTTTCACAGAATTTCCAGCTTCTAGAATGCATGACCTTACTCTCACCGCTACGAACACTGATAAGAGTAAAATTAGTCTCTTATCATTCTCGCAGCTGAGAGTAAACTTTTGTTTAGTCACTAATATTAAATTTTACTTGGTCACTTTTGTGTTGAATACTCTGCATTTTCCATAAACTTTCTTTTCTCACTAAACTTTTATTTTAAATTTGCATAACTTAGCTGCCTAAGTTTTGTAAGTTTTTAAATTTCAATCATGCTACTTTTAGTTTTTCATGTGTGGATATTGAAAATTAGCAGTCTAAAAGTTTATCACTTTGTATGTCTGCCTTCGGAAACCCACAGAATCACATTTAAGGAAATAAAAACTACGAAAATACAAATCTTATCAATTAGAAGTCACATTGCTGTTGAATCTAAACTCACAGGATATGCCTAAACGATTTTCTAGTTCAAATGACTAATTACAAGGCCACGAAGTACAAAGATATGGGTTAAAGAAGCACTCAGTTTTAACTCGCACGAGTGAAACTAGTTTTAGAAACTAAAAATGCTAATGATTAAATATGAGGTGGGGTGGTTTAAGGGGATAAAGCTCTAGACTCATAATGAAGTGAACCACGTTCTACTCCCAGCGATAACTGGTCTACACGAACTCCGCACCCAGCTCACAGTGCTGACTTAAAATATCCTCAGTGGTCGACTGATCATGTGTTAGAATCCCCTTGCCTTCAGACTAACTGTTGGAGGTTTTCGTAGCTTTCTTCTCCATATAACACAATTGCTGCTACGAATTAGTTTCTCCCAGTAATTGAGCCAGGAGTTCCCTTGTCTTCAGGATATGGTTCAAACGTACGAGATTGCAGCGGTGGGCATTGCTAATCGTAAACACTAAATTCAGTAAATTGCTCAATGACTGTTATAAAATAAAATGATTAAGTCTAATAAGTAATTAATTGCAACTTTAAACAAATGAGAAATTAATATTTTAAATTTCGGTTTTTAACTAAATGTTGCAATTTAAAGATTTTCTTTAAATCCTCAATCATTGGAAACTGGAGTGATAAAAGTAGTTATATGCTAAATTCCAGATATTAAGTGTAAATAGCTCTTAAACACAGATGACGAAAAACAGGGCTGACATGTTACGGCAATTCCAAATTAGTTGTTAACACTTAAAATAACGTGTCAGAATCTCTGCAATTTGAAATTTCTCTGCAGGAGAGTAAGGATTTATACATATAAAGCGAATGTCTTAGACTTTGAATATAGACTTGAAGTTCAAAAGTTAAATTAAGTTTTCGAAATTTAATGTTTATTCTTAACTTCTGTTAAATACGAAATAAATTTTTCAAACATTTTTAACTAATTTGAGAAAATAATGTTAAATGTTTCAATTTTGACAAATTACTATTTTAAGCGTTCATTTTTGTTATTAACATTAAACTACCTAATTTTTTATTAGGAAAGACTCCCTTAGACGTCCTGAAGAATACAAAGGAAAGGAAAATTTCCGTCACTTACACTTTGCATTTTGGTGATCCTATGGAAATGTCGCAAAAAATCACACTTCAAGTTGCAGAGGGAACAAATTTCCTGGATGTCATGAGATTGGCAGAGGAAGAAAACCCAAACTTCAGGTTTGAACAAATTTAAACTTTACTAACTTAATAGACTTAAAACATTAATTGTTGTAGAGCCTTACATTCTCCCTTTATGAAATTTTAAACCAATTAAATATGACGTCACATACTATAGCCCAGATAAATACTTAATAGGCTCTTTTCAAAGAAGTTCAATTTTGATCTTTAAGAGTTTAAGGCAGATAGGTGTCACATAACCACAGTGGCTAAAACAAATCGTCGTAATTTTATACGAATCTTAAATTTTTACCATTGAAATATGATTAGATTGCTAAATCCACGTGAATTACTATTTTAAGGACTTAAATGGTTAGTGGTTCAAAACCTTTCCTCTTTGTTTAACAACGGAGTTTATCTAAAGTTTGTAAAATATTTGCTTGTAGTACTGTGGCTTCTGTTTTCTACTCCATATTTATATTCTCAATGCATCTGTTTTGTTTCATGAGAAGAACTAACATGAAGTCAACATAAGCTTAAAAGCAATCAAGACACAAAATATACAATTTCAAATTTTAGTAATTTACAAGTTTGTAATCTTTTAATCATTGTAACTTTCTCGAATTTTAGGTCTTATAGTAATACGGAAGTTTAAATTGTCTAAAATCTAATAAGTTTTATGGTATTAGCTGCTTAATAACTCAAAATACCATTTTGAGGTCCTTTATCATTTCATCTTTATAAAATGCTTATTTGCAATAACCTTTGTACTTAATACTTAAACTATTTTATCAGACATTAAAAAAATTTTTTAAATTGGTAACTTTAAGATTAATGTTTAGAACGGAAATTGTGTATAATAGTTAATTGTAATAATTTAATCTAATCTTCTAATGATTCATATTTAAGTTTTGTATAACCTAAGAATTGGCCATCTTAATAGATTTTGCAAATGAATATTTTGTTTCGCATTGACCTATAATTTCACACTAATGTATTTTGCAGGTTCAGTTTGGATGAAACTAAAGATATACCATTTGTCTACTCAATCGGAGGTGTGCCAAATGACGCAGAGCGTGGATTATATTGGACATTGTATGTTCAAAATACTCGGAATCCTTCGGACTACATTCTTTCCGGACGTAGTAAGTATTCTAGGACATAATTTTTTGCAAGTTATGTTTATATTTTCCTTTAATATTTTGAATAGATAAGTAGACAGTTCATGTAAAGCTTATTGAACTGCCAAACAAACTATGTTTATATTTCGATTAAACCTATATTGTGAGCACATTTTAGCTAATGGAAATACTGTTTTACAAATTTTAGTTCTCTACGAGCAACTTTGAAAAGTTATTAAGGAATTTAACCCCTACCTTTTCAATCCCGTGAGAATAACTAGGTAAAGTTTTTGCCATCTATTTTTCGCTCCAATGTGTTCAAAAGTATCTCTCCAAAAAGGTTGTTTTAATCTTTCTGATGCCCAAGTCAATGTTTATTTCTAAATCTATACACCAGGTGGCAGTACCATACTATTTGTGGAAGGCCTAGGTTATTTTAAGCTTAATCTTAGTACTAATCGCGTGTTTTCTAACTGTTTCATTGTAAAATATTGTAAATTTGAAAGCCCAAATAAAAGTTAAATTAAGTTTTGACACTAATTTTTATAATTTTAGATTATTTCAAAATATAATACATTTAGACTGCAGCAAAATATTAAGATTGTTTAGATAAATTTCTTAAATTTATAAAAGTCTAAGGCATAACTTTACTTACCACCTATTCCATAGTTCTGGAGCAAGTTTTTTAATCCATGCAATTACATACTAGAATTTCTTTCGTCGTCTAAAATTGCCAATAACTTTGCAAACTATATATCTGCATATATTTTTAATTTATGTGTAATGCCTGATTAGCAATTTTCAAAGTATCGCAATTGAATTTTTCAAACTATTTGCCCGTTCTGAACCTTTACGATGTAATATTAGCTTTTCTCTTTAAGATAGTGTTGAATAACTTTCTGTAAAATAAGTCTTGAACAAAGCTCAATCAACCTCTATCTTGTGTTTATTAATGTAATACTCGTAGTTTAGCTTTCATTTTCTCAGCCAGGCAGAATACCGCGTCTACTTGAAGTATACGTTACTCAGATTTCAAAACTCGGAAAATTGAACAGTATTTCACTGGAATAAGAGTAATCGTTCAGTTTAATGAAAACCCTTCAAGTAATATAACTAGAATTAATGTTACTGAATTGTAAATTTTTCAACGCAAATCACATTTCTACCCATACGGTAATAATTAAATACGGATAATCTTCGTGATCGTTCCTTCCAATATGGTTATCTTTCTTGAATCAACCGTAGAGTATTTCGCAGTCGGATTTACTTTAAGCATATTTATCTAAAGTTTGAAACGTCAAGTTCTTGAGGCCGTTTTGACAGCTAACTGCCGTGGCACGTGGCTCCTGAAATATTTAAATCTTATGGTAAATATTGATGTAAATTAATTTCTTAAATTTTTATTTCAGATATTGAAGATCTAATTCCCATTAACGGAGAAGAGATTAGATTTTGTCAGAAACAAATCTAAAACAACTTGTTAAGTTTTTAAATTTTTGTTAATAAAATGTTAAAACTATGTGGTTTGTTTTTTTTTTTTACTTTCCCGCTGTGTTAAATTTATCTTGTCTTGCTCATCGCAATTTATTCGATTTAACCTATACTGGCAATTCTAAGTATCGTTACGGATTTTTAAAAGGATTACTGTAAATCTTAAGAAAACTAGGATTATAAAATCTGTATTATCAGAGTTAACGAAGAACGAAGCATAATTCAAAATTAGAAACTTTAACTAGACTCTTGATACTAAATTTAAATCAATAGAAAATGTGCAAAGATTTTTTGAAGCAACCTCATACTGTGTTTATATTCTAAACTTGTTCTTTCTAAATTTACTGAATTTTTTTTTCCAGATTTTTATAACGTAACTCTAAGCTTTCCAGAGATATTAAAATCTAGCTTTAGAAACTGAATGGCGTTTTACTTCCCCTTGCTTTGGTATTTGGAAGCAAAATATAGCATACGAGGTAAAAACACTATTTTAAACGTAAAATTTTTAATCTGAATCATTTGAGTAATTGTTTTAAGAACGTATCAATTCTTTCAGTGCATTTTTATTTTCGACATCTTGAATGGCTCTACAAACAAAATCATATCTGCTTATTCAATTTAAACTCCAAATTGAGTGTTGAACATTTTTTCAATTACTTTTGCTACTTAACTTTTCAAAGAAGATTCTAATTTTTCTTATTTTGCATTCTTCAAGCTCTCCTCTGTTGGAAAGTTTGCCTTTGGGGAATATTGTATTTTTATAATCTAAAACTTTTCATTTAAATATTTTACTAATGCCAGAAATCTATTTGCGCAAGTTGTTCGTACGTTTCAGATCATATTTAATTTTAAAGTTGTTGATGCAATGTCTTAATTGCATGCTGTACAATTTATAAAATTTTATTTTTTAATTCATTAGTCATCAGTTTTTCAAGAAATAAACTAGATTTGCGAAATAAAAAAATTTAAATAGAATTTTCCTAAATTGCGAAATTTTAAAGAATATCTAAGCTAATATGTATTTCCGAAATTTCACTAGGCATTTAGAAACATTATTTAAGTTCTTACAAAGTTTCCTTTTGGAAAATTTATAATTATTAATGGATCGTTTAACCGCATTTATTTGAAAATTTTATCTTAACAAAATTTTTTTCCTGAATGTTTTGAATTTTTGTGCATAAGGTAATTTGTCTAAGCAAAGTTAATGAAGTATTGAATAACTAGCCCTAAAAATACTTTTAACTGCGCAAAAGTGTTTTTTTAAGAATATATTAATTTCGTTTTTAACAAATGAGGTAAGTCTATTCAAAATTTTACATGGTCTGGGTTTCAAATAAAATATTTCCCTTCTCGAAAGTAAGATTAATTTTAAATAGCTAAATACCACTTACACAATTTGTGATCTGCATTAACCCTTACGGTTTTTTCAGATGAAGTTTATATTTCTCCTTGGAAAACTTTTTGCACAACTTTATTTAAAACTCCATTAATTAAGCACACAAAATCTAAGTAAACAAAGTCTAAGTTTCTATCGAGCATCTACTATTAAAATGTATTTTGTCAATTCTTACACTAGTAAATTAAAAGCATCAAAGCTTAAAAACTTTTCAAAAATTGCAAAAAATATCCACTCTTTTCGAATTGAAATCAAAAGTAATATCTTTTTAATGAGTAACAAAATTAATTTATACATAAGCAACCCTGGGGGCGTAACAGTGATAACTTTTTTAGATATTCTCTTTTCAGTTTAAACTCCGTGTGATTTTTGTCACTTTTAATACATACTTTTAGGATTTTGAAGTTCAGTAGTTTATCATATGGATGTGAGAAATGATGGCATATTCATTCATAATAGAATATTCATGAATATAGTCAAGATTCCCAGATATTACAAACAACTAACGAAGTATCACTCACTTTGTTTCAAAATTCTTAAAACAAATTTTTAAAAATTTGGTTAGTTTAGGCCCTTTGTGGTGATTTAAAAAGTCTTTCTAATTTTATTTTTTTATTAACCAATTCTAGGTTAAGCATAGAAAATTTATAAATTGCGAGGTTTTTTTTTTTTTCTTTTTTTTTTGTAGTAATATGCTTAAATTACATTTATTGGGACGCAGAAAGTTTCGTGCGGGAAATGTTTTTTTTCTCAAGAAATACAATGGTGTGTATACGCACTATTGGCCAAATCAGTTGACGAACCATTTAAATACTATTTTTTTAATAAAGTTGCTTAATTTTTTTTAATTTAAAAAATAATTAGAACTTGGAGGTAATTGGACAAAACCTTAAAGCGAGTACTATATACTTTTTACAAGTGAGAATAATTATAATTTCTCATTTAGAAATGAAATAAAGACTTTATTCATTCATGTCTTTGACTGTATATTCATTGATATCTTAGTAGATTGAGAAATCCTTTCTTGATTATGACTATCTGTACTGGCCTACTTACAAATTTTTATACGACAAAAATTTTTTGACTTCTGTAATTTTCTTGTGGTTTGCGTCAACTTTTCCAGAATATGGTTCCTTAACTGGTTATGGTGGCACTTTTGGGGTGCTTATTTGTACAGAGTCAATAACAATTTGTAAACCACCAATGTAACGAGATGCAACTTCACCAGGTGTAGTGCTTTTATAAGAAAAATTGCTATAATGTGACACCCGAAACTATTTTCTCCCTTCTTGCTTTTCCATAGTAGCTGTTTAAAAACTGATGATTCTTCTTATAATGCTCCAGCCACCAGCGTTTCAAATCAACTATTATATTATGTATAATCACCTCCTGTACAGTTCATAGTTATTTTTATCCCTCTTTATTTTCTTGCATTTACCATACAATCTAAAGAACTACCCTCTGAATCTCATATTTTATACTACACAGAAGCAACAAAATAAAAAGTCTAAACTGAATATTCAATTGCAAGGCTAAGCGAGCAATTTCATACGCAACTACGGCAGCCATTTATCACTATATTTCCAAGTTTATTCCGAGAATAGGTCATTTTCAGGATATGACATGCTTTCGAATTAAATTGAGATTTCTCTGCACACAGCATACTATACCAAAAAGGGAGAAAAAAGATTTTTTACATCCTAACTATGTGCCTACAGCCGACCAGGTGGCCGAGTGCTTAGCGTGCCTGACTCCGGAGCCGATGGTTGCGGGTTCGAATCCTGCTCAGGGCATGGCGTTTTCTTTCTCCCTGTGATATATGTTCTTTCTTCTGTGTGATTGTGCGAATGTAACCCGCTCTATAAACGGGGTTCTGGTTGTATGACGTGGGCGACGCTACTCCACCGCCATGGCTTAGCCATAGGTGCTCACTGGTTAACAATAAGAGAGTAGCGATTCTGGAATTTCTGAGATCAATGGGAAATAGACCAAAGTGCCCGACATTAACCAAAAAAAACTATGTGCCTACATCAGCGGTAAACTTTAAAATGAAAAAAACCCAATTTTGAAAAACAATGGAGATGACTGGTTTTCGGAATCATTGATTCATTTTTTTAACGCTTGAAAATTTAACAACTTAACTAAACACTACAAATATAGTTCAAGAAATATATATTATTAATTGTCATGAAGCAAAAATAGGAAACCTCGAAAATCAAATCGCGCTACGAGCAAACTATGCACTTCGTGCTCTTCTTAAATATCCAAGAAGATCATTTATGCCTGCCCACTTCTCTAGATTCCAGGACTCAGAATTTGTACTGTCAACAGACAGAGAAGTCCACTGTTTTCCAGTTCGCTCAGTAGAATAGTTATTTCGGTCGAATAATAAGTTACTCTTTCCCTACTAACAATGCGGTTGAGAACAGCCATTCGAATACTACAACGCCAAGTCTATATGTGGCCACTTGCTGTTTAAAATAAGTAAGGAAATTAAAGCATGAATTTTATCGCAGCGTTTGAATTATGTATATTTAGCATATGTAATGAACTGAATTTAAATTTAACAATTTAATGACTTAGGCACTAGTTGTAATGCTTTATTTGCGTCACACCATAGCTCTACCATGGACTATTGGTGACAGTTTGGGATACCTGTGAATGATCCAAAGACATACCATCACAATTTTGACAATCAGCAGAGGCAATGGATCTTCCTCTTCGGTTGCGAGCCGACCTGTGAGTGAAGTTGAGCACTTTACTGCAGAAGAATTAAACGGGGACCAATACTGCACACCCTCGGTTTTTACTTGATCAAAGCTGTCATCCACCCATTAACTAACCGGTGTCAGTGATGCTGGATCCATGTCTTGCGATCAGTCAATTGTGGAACTTACAATTTAGGAAAAGTTCTATAGAAGTTATTGCTGTTGTAGTTTATTTACGTCACACTAAAGCCGTGCAATTAGCTATTAACGATGGTCTGGGAAACATCCCCGAGAATGATCCGAATACATGCCAACGTAGGTTTGATCTGTTGCAGACGGGATGGCACCCCCGCTTCGAAAGCCCGACAACCTGCACGTGAAGTCGAGCACTTTACGGCTGAACAGTTTAACGAGAACCAATACCGTACACCCTCGGTCCCTTCTCAGACTGATCCAAGTGGTCACCCATCCGCACGCTGACAGCAGCAAGTAATGCTTGACCTCAATAATCTGCTGGGAAACCATTCCTTACGGAAGTCTGGAAACTATGTAGAAACTATTTTTAAAGGATTTTAAATGTGAGAACACGAAAAAGGAGCCAACTATAAATTTCGTTTGATAACATATTGTCGGTGTTTCCAAATTATTTTTGCCCTTTTTTGTCGACTAACTCCTTCCAAGTGATGCCACTGACTTAGTAACCCATACGCTAATATACTTTTTAAAAAAATGATCAAAATTTGACACATTTCTTAAAAGGGTTCGCCATCATTGCTCTAAGCAAAATTGGAATTTCACTCTAGCTCTCTTTTTTATTTTGTTTAAATGTAAAGATCTTAAGGACTAGTGGTTAAAAAGTAGAGCGTCAACTACATAGTGATATATATTATACAATATAACAGTATTCTGACATTTCGATTCATA